GAGCATTTCTTTTAGTCTGGAACAGATTTGACCAAGAAAAACAAGATGGAAACGATAAAGACGAGTGGAGCATTTTCTTGTTATTCACCAAATGATACAGTAAAAAAATAATCTGATTTTAACAACTGAACTCACCCAATGTAAGTGTTGGAGGTTCGGCCTTCCCCGCTAAACATACATCTGGCAGCTAAGGTGTCACCGTACTTCACATCCACATCTTTGTTGGCAGGATAAAAAGCCTGGAAAGGAGAAAAAGGGGGAAAAAAAACACATGCACCAAAATGTTCATTACCGGGGTCCAAATGATTCAAATTTCAAAATTCGGATGATCACATGGTCAACTTTAAAAATTGGATTTGTTAATATTTTCCACATGTTTATAGATCTAGACAATAACCAACCTAGGGTAGCATTACATATTAATCATGTTGGCTATCATTTAAAGAAAAATAACAGGAATAACCTTTACTACATTTTATATATTTTCAATAACTTTCCAGCCCATTAAAGCCATGGCTTTAAGTTAATTGTCTACTGGGAAGTGTCTGCAAGCTCTTGGTCACGTGGTCATAAATTGTAATAGTTTACTTCTTAGGAAATGTGTGTTCCTCTTGACTAGGTTGGAATCCAGGAAATGGATTTTGGTGACCAAAAAGAGGGGACTTAATAATCTAGAGGAAGTTCGGAAGGTTAATGATTGTGTCCTTTGTCTGAACTGAAATTCAACGACTGCGTGATGTAACCATGTAAAACCATATAAAAGAGACCCCCCCCCCTAACAGGGGGTCAGTCGTCTCTAACAACTGTACTAGACAGGAGTTAGGAGGGGCTCTCTCGGCCAAGATACTTAGAATAAATCCATTAAAGACAAACTCTGTTGGCTCTTGATTTTTCCAAATGATGTAAATATATCTACGACAAAACATATTTACCGTAAGTCTCAACTGAAACAATGTAATCAAAGCAAATATAACCAGTCTATGTTCAGTGCTGAGACCCCTACAGTTTATTAATATTTGGTTTTGAAACCATGTAATTGCTGTACACACCTGTGGCAGCTGAGGAGACTGTCGTCCAATCAGGCTCCACTTCCCTTTTCTGATCCTGTATCCAGTGACTACTTTCCCTGTGGGGACACACACACATGCAGATGATGCAGACCAGGAGTTAGTTGGTCTTCATTAACCTCTCATTGACATTCATGAACATTTCACGCACGCACAACTACATGCATGGACAGACACAGACACAAATTGCTATTGTAAGGTTGATTATTTTAATATTTAAGATATTAATATTCTGCCGTTGTCCTGCATACTCCTGGGGAGGCTTTTGCGTCACACTGAAACACACAACTTGAACAGAGGAAAGTGCAATGAGGACGCTGCGACTCACCGAGGTGATGCGTGTGTGTCCTGAAGGCAAACGGGTAGATGGGATAGGACGAGTAGTCGCAGGCAATGTCTGCGTTTGTGACTGAGATAGAAAAAGACAAGACAAAGAATCAGGTAAAGGCAGAATGATTGCAAAGAAACTTCATTTGTAACAAGATTTCAACTTTTATAAAAAAAAAAATTAAAAACCAGCATTTTTGGTTTGTTACTACATAAATTGTTTATTAAATTGTTGTCGCTCATCCACATTGTGACATAACATTTTAAACACTGAAAATATAACATATTAGAACTGACCAATCAGAGGCTCAACAACTACTGTATGCCATCACGCGAACGTTTCCAATTTCTTAATGGACTTCGGTGGAAGAGATTGAAGAAGTACTTTGAGACAGACTTGTGATTCTTATAACTTATAGCTGACGTCGAGGAGATGTGTGTTTAAAAACCAAGGCCTATTCCTTTAAAGTATTAACACCAGTCTCCTTTTCACTTGGTTTGTTTACACGTAACTCTTGCCCAGGAGAAAATGATGTACCGCCAAGTATAACCAAGTGTTTTGAATGTGTCTATTTTGGCAAAAAACTGTCAGAATTTCTATTTAATTTGCTCAAATACGTTCTCCTGTTCCCAGGGGAGTGAAAAGGGCAGTTGACCCTGAGGGGGAAAGAAAACCAACAACATTCACCTCTCTTCCCTGGAAGAATGACTGTGTCCACAGACATGAGCAGGTAGATGCCAGCGATGAAAGGCTGCCTGTCAGGAAAAACAAAACTGCCAGCGATGAAAGGCTGCCTGTCAGGGGGAAAAAAAACACAAAGACAGTTCTGTTCCATTTCTTCATGTACTTCTCTCTGTTGGTGGTAAAGCAAGTCATGCAGCTCGTAACCGACACACGTTTTCACTGTTTCCTCTTTTGTTTTCAGTTGTTAAACAGAAATGTTGATGATCTACTCACGGTTTGGACGTCATTTTCACTGAGAGTCCTGAGCAATCTCTGTGGTGGTCTACAGAGGAAATGTAAATTAGAAGTAATTCAATACAATTACATAGGAGTCGAGTGGCCTCCATGTAACTGTTAAACAATCAAAAGCAGTTCACAGCTCTCTAGACACTACTACTCACCCCTGAAAGCACTGACGTCTCCATAATGAACCTGCAGCACAAAGTAGGATGATCCTGATTTTCTCCCAACTTTAAAACCAACATCTGAGGAACAGAAGTCAAATCCATATATATCACCAAAAACATTTGTTTTGTATACTGACAATATGATGCTGAATATTTTTGTCTAAACACGACCAGAGGTCAGTGAACATCTGACCTTTAGGTAACTTGGTGGGTGGGGCGTCGCGGGCCCAGGCGTACTTGATGGAGGACTCGTCCTTACAGGTGCCCGCGGAACTGCCACAGTCCCTGCAGACACAGAGAGAGCAGTGAGGAGAGTGGAGTCGCTTCTCGGGTAAATGTTGAGCTGTGATTGGTCGATGGATCTTACCAGTAGTTGCTGGTAGAGACGGGCCTCTGGCAGCCAAACAGGATCATGTGATGCACAGTGTCCATACTGGCATGAGGTATAAAGTCCACTGAGAAAGAACAGCAGTGGTGAAAGTATTTAATAGTTAAACAGAGGTCAGACTGACTCACTAACACACAGAAAATCAGAGCCATCACTGCACCAAAGTAGACATGTTTACTGTTTTGACAATAGAACTTAGCATTTTCCCCTTAGCTGTAGAAGGGGAACAACATACATACATACAGTATGTACATGTATGTATATATACATACATATGTACATACATACGTATGTATGTATATATACATACATATATTTATATATATATATATACATATACATACATATATACACATATATACATATATATACACAAATATATACACATATATACACATACATATATATACATATATAATTACATATTTATAAAGAAAACATTCTCACCAATATAAACATCTTGACTTGTTGGCACAGGAAAGGCCATGCAGAGGTAAGTGTCCGACTGCAATGAGTTAAAAACAATATGAATATAATAATAATAATGAACAGAAAAGCATATTCTGACAAATTAAGCTTCATGACTCGGTGGTTTTTTTGCAACATATGTTACACTGACATCTGACTGTTAGTTTGTAACTGGGTCTTTGTCCCAATTTACACATATTCTGACAAATTAAGCTTCATGACTCTGTGTTTTTTTTGCCACATGTTACTTTTTTTATAGTCTGTATTCATTTTTGTGTTGCTTGTTTTTAAACAACTAAACTTCAGTTTGATTTTTTTTTTAATGACTGATATTTAATGAGTTACGACTAATGCAGAAGTAATTTCATCATCATCTGTCATGTAGCCGCACATAACTTCCTGTTGTTGATTTAATGACTAGGTGAAAGTGAACACGAAGGTTTGAGTTAAAATTAAACTAGGTTATTTGCTTAGCACCGAGTAAAAAGTTCTGCTTCGGAGTGTTTCTTCAGTACAAACCAGTGAATGGTGAGAGACAGACTCACCGTCTTTGGGACGACACCCGGCATCCGTATGTCCATGGAGAAGTTGTCAGGGTTTTCTATCACCAGTGGCTGCTTTGTTCTGGAAACACAGCTGTAGGGATCCAACAGCACATCCTCCTGAGACCTTAGAGAACAACAGAAGAGCAGTTAAACTTATTTACTGAAACAGTCCGACCACTTTCCTCAACTGTTGGCTTTATTTATTTATTTTCGCCAGGCATATTTTGATAGTAATTTAGAGTTACAATCCTGAGGTGGATTTCACCTTCTGTAAACGTGCAGAACAAAAGCTCTGGACACACCTAACTTTCTTATTGCCTTAGGGATTTTATATTTTAAAATACTGAGAAGCTGAACAATGCTGCTCTCGCTGGTATTTATTTCTTAACGATAATCTTTGAAATACAAACCAGGTCAAGGTCTCATTGGTATACTTTGCAACAAAATTAATCAGGAATATTATATGGACTTTTTTCCATCTGAACCAAGGTTGCTGGTCTAAAGTTTGTTTAGCAGCGACATGACGACCCTAGAGAATCTTTAAAAAAAGAGGGAAAATCAGGTTGACTGGGAGGAATTGGACTGATCAGTCACAAGATTGCAGCCCACCAACCGGCATTCTCTAACTGATGAACTTGAGAAAATTGGAATGCATTTAGTAAATCTGATTTTAATTTCATTTGTATTTGAGTCTCAGAAAAATTCTGGCCCTTCGATAGTTAGAGTTGGAGAACCCTGTTATAGACCAGGACGTTGTTAAAAACACAGAAGGTTGATTTGAAGAAAGTAGGTCTGAACAGGAAAAACCCAAATACCTGACACTATATTCCTGTAGATCATACATGTCAAACTCAAGGCCCGGGGGCCAAATGTGGCCCTCCAAGCCGTTTTGTGTTCATGTCGCAGAGTTTCTTAACCTAAATATACCCCTTCAAGGGGAACTTTATTGCTGATGTGGCCCCCTGGTGGTAACGAGTTTGACACCCCTGCTGTAGACTAAATAACAAATATCCTAAAGTGTATCAGCCCACTGGTCGGCTCTCAATTAAACAATAAACAACTTCCGAATTTATTAACGTCGATAACTGTCATCTCCTGTCATTATTTTATTTTTCAAAATATCATAGGTAGTAAACGTAAAAATATCTTATTAACTCATACGACAGGTGATAGAAACAGACAGTTGGGAGAGCACTGGCACGACAACTTGGACGCTTTGTTTATCCATCAGTCAGTATCAGTCAAACTTCGAGCTTATTTTGTAAATGGCTAACATTACAATAAATTACTCAATAAGCTGAGGTCAAAACATCCCTGGAATATTGCTTTCATGACCTACCTTTTTGACTGGTGCCCCCAGCCATGGCTGTGCCTCATGAAGGCTAGCACCATGACACAGAACACAGGGAGTCTCATCACGGCTGTGGCCATCACAGTGTCTTCTCCTGGTGCTGCTGCTGTGTTCTGCACACGTAAAACAGCACAGTGAATCACAGCTGATGAACCAAGACAAAGAGCGCGAGAGAGAAACGTCTGACTTTCTTACTCGGCTGAAGTGAGACGGAAGAAGAAGATGAGGAGGAAGAAGGAGCGGGAGGAGGAGTCTTTATTCCAGTAACATCGTGGAGCACAGTTTAGCTCCGATTCCCTCCAGCGTGTCGAGCGGTTCAGACAGTTTGGTGCAGGTCACCACCTGCAGGAGGAGAGCAGCTGTGACTTAATAAAGAATTAGGAATTTGGAAGATTATCAATGTCATTCTGTTAATCCTAAAGCAAAGCAAACATATTCTGTCCTCTTTGTCTGTTCAATATACAGAGGTAAGCTCTGAGATTGATAAGAACCAGTATCACAACCTATTTTTCAATATAATTATCATAAATTATTATAATTATTATTATCGGTTTTTCTCCGGCTGCACTGCATTCAGTGGCATATACGCAAGTTTTTTTTTTTATCCAATCATATTTCAGTCTCATGTGTTTCCAGGTTGAAAGAAATCAGCCCTAAGGCCTTCAGAGCCAGTAGTGGTGGGGCTCAGAGCCTAATATGAATGGCGATGAGATTGTTTCTTTAACAAATCAGATTTTAAGTTGGCATCAACCTGGCAGAGCAAGGCCTTCTAGGTGTCCCAGAGTTACGATTACGATTTGAGCGAATGGTCACTGATTACTTCCTTTTATTGATCAAAATGACTTAACATATAATGTTCACCTTATCGTCTATTTGCCTCATTGTTCTTCGTGGAGACGGCTATCTATAAAGCACTGTTTAGAATCCATTTGGCCCACTTTGGAAGACTTTTCGGAGAATTCCTCCGTATCTGTAACATTGAGTAAAACCATGGAGGCAGCCATGTTGCCGGACTGTTGACATCAATCAGCCACTCGATTGGTCTAGCACAATCGACGTGTCGAACCGTGTCACCGCTCGCAAACCACAATCTTATAGCCAGTTCTGCATGAAATGCCTCGCCATAAAGAATGGGCAGGATTTTTTGCGACAAACTTTTTGCTGTAAGCTTAACGTAACTCGTTCTTTTTTTTTATGAACTTAAGATCGTGTAGTTGGAGCAGACGTTGGCGCGAGATGAAACGATTATAGGGTTCACCTTACAGCCTAAGTAGCGTTGGAGTCATCTTAAGGAAAGAGAAGGGCGGATTCTGTGGTTCTGTGGTTTCTACAGACATGATGACAGCATTGAGATATAAATGTATTCTGGCAGGATGAAAACTGAAGGTCAAGGTGAAGAACGCGCAGTACACCACTGCTATTTAATGATCTATTTAATAAGGATTAACTGTGATGAATCAGCCGCTAATTTATGATTGGTCTATTAAACATTTAACTGGTTTATCAGCTCTCATTTTAAATTCCAGTTTGTGCAGTAAACATTGCTGATACACAGCACCTTATTTGTTCAAACTAAAATGTACAGGAGCTCTTGCGAAATCAATATGCAAATTACAAACAATAGGAAATGCAACAGCCAGCACTCTTGGCTTACATTAGACAAAACCTGTAATGACACAACCGTATACCGGGGGTGTCAAAGTCCATTCTCTGCAGTTGATTATTATTTATTCCAGTTACACATACCGTACGTTGTAATGTGAAATAAAAATGTTAATTTATCAGATTTAGAAACTAACACTTAAAGCAAACTTTTCAAGGAAATTCATAACTCGGACAACAAACACACTCTCTCAGTTCCAAATGAAACAGGTTTTGGGTTAAGTTGACGAGGTTGAACACAGCGAGAAGATTTCTCATCATCATGAAATACATTGATATATATTTGTAACCTGTAGTCAAGCAGCACAGGCTTCATTAAAAGGTAACTAAATGCTTTTTAGGCTCCCGTGGGCCACAAAAAAAAAAAAAAAGACTTGGCGGACAGCATTTGGCCCACAGTTCTCAAGTTTCACCCATGTGGTATAAACCCTCACAAATACAGCACAAAATCAAGTGGAATTTGATCTGAAGGATAAGTAAGTGACAAAACAAAACAAAAATTCTCCTATGAAAAAAAATTACTTCACACACATCAGAAACAATACTTGATAAGCTCTTGACATCACAACTTAACCAAACATCAGTGACCGAAAGGACTTGTTGATATACTCCAGGCTCCATTAGAAAACTAAATTGTGCCGTTTATCATTTTTAAATTTTGAAGTCCTTATTTTCTGATGTTCTTCAGAGACGTAACCTTATTAAATGAGGCGGCAGTACACAAGCAGTTTTCACCACTAAAACCGCTACATTGTCGTACACACTTTGGAACTACATGGTGGGAGGTTTTTAAACTTTATCCCATTGTTCGAAGCGAAGATATCATCGTCTCGATGTCACTTTATCGGGGGCCTTAGGTGAATAAAACCTGTTTGTCCTGGTGATAGTACACATTCATATTCGAATAAGTTTGTGTCTGCCTCAAAAAACAGAACATGCTATCAAAAACACCTCTTGTATGGAAAATTTGATCTCATTTTGTTTTTTTGTGAAAATGTTTTTCCAAAAAGTAGTCATGGTCACTGAAAAACACCAACACGGACAACAATTCGGTTCAGAAAACAAGAAAGAGCTCAAAAGGGTTGAAAATGCCAAACAGTCCAATGAGGGCACCAGACAATTCAACAATCACACTGCACACACCCATACCATCGCCTTTATATTTACCTGAAGGGCCAGAGGATGCTCGTGAAATACAGAACAACAGTCGCTGAGCTCTGGAGCTGCCACAGTGACTCATCTCTGACAACACAGAGACGAAGAGAGGGGGAGGAGGCTGTGCTGATGATGTCACAGCTCCTCTAAGGAGACCAGAGATGAAACTATGGAAACAGGGCTAATCCTGCTGATGGAGTACTGCACACATTCACCCAGGGTGAAAACTCACACACAGACACACAATCCCAAACACTGGGCTGTGCAGCCATTATTGTCAGGGAGAGGCACTGATTTACATCAGCTTTTACAGGGAAAGCCTTAACACCAATCTTATCCTAACTACAAGTCACAACATGTTTCTCACTCCTCACTGCTCCAGGTTTGCTCATCTGATCCCTGTCTGGTCACCGTGGGTTATTTGCATAATCTTGAATTTTTCTGCTCTTTGAAAAACATTTGTGACAAACGTGAGAGTTGCACTTTGTGCAGTCTTCTTAGTGTTGCATAATAAAAATGTTGTGAAAAAAAAAATTTCACAAGAGGCACTGTGTCCAAAAAAGTCCAGTTTTCAAGGCCTTGGGTTTTGTAAATTGAGACAGCCGGACTTCGTACCGTGGATGAAGTCAGTCTTTTACTTGGATCGTAAATCACAAAGGTGATATGTTTTTTGTTGAAAAGATATGCGTTCAAGACCCTCAGACTCCACACAGACAGATTTGTTGACATAAAGTCTTAGGGTCAATGTTGTAGCCATGACAAACATTCACATTTACACACAGAATTCTTGTCAAGACGCGCACCGACATCCAAAGCGTTATCACCACCCATCGCCTACATAACCAAAACTCTGACTTAGTCTTCACCCACATCTTTATCCTGACTTAGAACAAAGTCTGAGGATATTCCACAATCATATGAAACAAATGGATATGCAATCAACTACAGAGCAACCAACTAAATAGTTCGATTTTAATAGGTAGATTTAGATGACATAGCCCTTTACCACAAATAACCATGTAGAAATAAGAGTGACCATTTTCTTTGGCCAAATTCACTCTATCGACCAGATTGAGGGAAATAAAGGCACATCCATTTAATCGAGTTTTGATTGATTTCGGTGCTGGTTTAGAACATGTCACATTAGAAGGAAAACATACAGGAAAAAAATACACAATAAAGGCTTTTTTATCATTTTACTTACTGCAACGGATTAGGATCGTGATCATTGAAACCAGGTTTTGATGCCAATTAGTGCAGTTGGACATTGACAGAATACATTATCATGCTTGTCAAGACCCCACTGGTTAATGCTCACAGAAACAATTATGGATAAAAGGCGAATGTTTTTACGAGAAACATATATCTAAACGTATTTTAAGAAGTTTCAATTATCTGGTTAAACCGAATATTCTTTTCTAATATGTGTTATTCGTTTACAGAATGTCTCAAAATGCAATTAAAAGCCACTACGTCAAAATCAAACAGTAGGTGAAAAATAAAAAACACGCCTTTAAATTTGCTAATACGCTAAGCTAACACAAACGAAGTTGTTAGGGAATACATGTGGGCTGTAAACGTTTGCGACAGGTACAATTTTTTTATTAAAACTAAATAAAATAATCGTGAGCGTGTCTCTGTGATGACTCTCTGTGTGGGAGTGAACGGCTAACGTTAGCTTCCTGCTGCGTCGCTGTGTTTTGACAGGCTTAAACCTATGGTCACGTCCACCAGCGGTCTCTTTAAAGATGGAGATAACGGTCAATTATGTTTTTTTAAACAGTACCTGATTCTGTTAAGAACGCCATTAAGTAAAACCAGAAAACACCCTACCTTTTGCCAACACTTGGGGGTTTCTCCCGGTCTTGAGTAATCAGATCCAATTCTTTCTATTGTTAAAATCAAACACAACAATACCATTTCCGCCTTTTCAAATTAAAAGCACGACAGACTGCACTGCCTGACAACTAACTGAACAGGGTTCTACTGTCGATTTCAAATTTTTAGGTGCTTTTCAAGAGAATACAATAAACAGATTTTATATTAGCAGTTACATCAAAAGTATTTTGAGAAGTTGAACGTTTTAATCGTTCTGTTAGGTCCATATATAGCTCCTCGAAATACGAGTAAGCAACTTTTGCAAGATTTTCCTCGTGATACGAGGAAGCCGAGAGGAAACGAAGAAGACTCTCACTCTCTCTCACCTTCTATGATCACCTTCTGTAACTCATTATACTCATAACTCATAACTTCTGTTATGAGTTACAGAAGGCGATCGCAGGAGACAACACTGACATTTAGAGGTGGATGTGGACTTTAAAATGTTTTCTTTGACTTAGTTTCTCTTCTATTTATTTAACGTGAAATATAATTCACTTTCTAACTTTCAACCCGCTTGTTGTTGGGTTGAACTACCAACTTTCAACCCAGAGGTGGCAGTAGAGCTCAATTTGTTGCTTGAGAACGCCCAAAGTCGTAAGTAAAGAAGACGCATAACTTCCGACGTGATGACGTAGAGTGACGTGGATCGATTAGAAACATAGGGCGCCCTGCATCAGGCGGTGAGTTTAAAGAGTCCTGGTGAGAAACAGGGAGAAAAGAGAAGAAAACGCCGGGAATTCGTGGACGATAGTAAAGGACAGATGAACACAGACAGGTAAACACGCACGGATTTTAAATCTTATTTTCATTCTATTTATATAAAGGTCTTTGAGCTGATTTAAGGTTGAATTTGAGCGCCACTGAGCCATCCATGTAAAAACTGTGACAACTCCTAGGTTCCTATGTAGTTATAAATCCATAATAAACAGTGACCAGGGTGGGTTTATGACGTTTGTGATATTTGTTATTGTATTTTTTTTTAATACATTCTACAAGTGAATTTGTTTTTTGCTTGAAATACAAGTGGTCAAAGAGTGATACCGCGCTTTCCTCAGAGCTCGGCCTCTGATCAGATCTTCTCTGTGCATCAGTCCCTCGTATTTTAAATAATTAATCATATTATCAGTAGAACAGTTAAAACAGAATACAAAGTACATGAATGTAGACGAGATCTGAAACAAATCGGACCCGGTATTTTAGAAATTGCGCGGTCCTTTGGGTAGTTATTCCTACAATATGGCGGGCAGAGCGTTGAGTGTGAGGGGGGTACAAGTTCTCCAGGTCTGACTCTAACAAAACTAGTTTCAACTGTAAACGATCTAACACGAAATAATAAAAAAAAAAAGGTTAAATGAAACTAACACAAAAAGACCTCAAGTTAAAATAATAATCATAAAACTAGTCCTCACACAACTAAACCATCTTGAGACCAGTTATAATGCTGCCAGTATCTACAAAACTAAAACTGGATAGAATTTATTCAATAACTATTTCATAGTGTGCTTAATTTATGAGTTACAGAACTTAGCAAACAAACAAAAACACATTCATTTGCTTCAGTTGTCTTATGATTAAAAAGTTCCTCAAAGACATTGAGTCTGATGGGAAAAAATCAAAGACATTGATTTTTAAAAAAAAAAAAAAAAAATCCCAAATGGCATCAGTCACATCGGATTTTCATCAGGATATCTCTTTTGTTGTGTCGCCTAGCCAAGCCCAGCTTGTAGCCGCAGCGAATCAACGAGAATGGCTTGAAACTTGTCAGTACATACTTTAATTACAACGTCAAAGGTTTCCGGTTCCGCGTCAAAGCCAGTTTGAAAAAAGTTGAGGGCAGTAGCAAATCTGCTGTTGTGCTGGGGTGTGGGAGCTGTCTGTTTTTTGTATTAACTATTGTGATGTTTTTTTGTTGTTTTTTTTTTTTTTTTTACCCAGCATGCCTCTGCAGGACCTGCCCTGCCTCAGTCTCCAGGGCTCCATGTTGACTCAGTCCAACAAACGCAAGTCCAGAAACTTTCTGAGCGAGGGTCTGGACACAGAGTGCACCCCCACAGAATTGATCCAGCAGTGTTCCCCCCGACACAAGCTGCAGAGACTCAACACTAAGGACAAGGAGAACGACTACGGACACTTTGTTCTGGCCAGGAGACCTCGGAGGAAGAAGGAGTCCAGTACAGGTTAGATGTGACCTCTGAACTTTCACCTCTGAACTGTCAATGTAACATCTCTCTCATCGTTACTCTTATTGTGCCCCTCCCCCCCCAAACCCCTGCAGGTATTTCATGGGACCAACTGCCGGATGAGCTACTTCTTAAAATCTTCTTCTACCTCCCCCTGCAGGACCTTCTTGGGATATCCAGAGTTTGCAAACGCTGGCACCGTTTAATGCAAGTCTTCAGGAACTCTGTTCTGTAACGTCAGCTACAAATGGATTTAAGGATCTTTAAATAAGTCTCATAGTCAATAGATAGGACAGGAACATTAATGTGTATATATAAATACACTAAGTATATTTATGAAAATGCAGTATATATACATAAATAAACAACAAAATCTCAGTATTGATGTCACTGCGTCTTATGAAGGGTTGACAGCTTGAATTGAACCTGGTAAAATCTAACCAAGTTGTTGTATCGGTCCCAGGTTCGACGAGTCTCTGTGGCACAGCGTGGATCTGGAGGGTATGACCCAGGCAGACGCGGCTCTGAGGCACGTCCTGAAAACCAAGGTGACGAGGCTGCGCTGTCCACGGTCGTACGTAGAGGAGCTGCGACTCGCAGGCACCGAGTGAGTGCGTCTGTTTAACTCCGACGTGTTGAACGTGTCGTGTCTGCGGGATTCTGGTGATCCTGATGGTTGTTTGTTTGTTTGTTTGTTTCCTGGGGTGGCAGGCCGCTTCAGATGGCTGAGCTGGACCTGTCCAGTTCCATCATCCCCACCTCTGTCCTGGAGAGCATCATCTGTGGCTGCAGACAGCTCAGGTGTCTGAGTCTGGAGGGACTGCAGCTGTCTGACCTCATCATCAAGTAGGTGTCTGAAAACAAACACACACACACACACACACCTTCCTGCTCCACTGTCACTGCTCATCAAGCGCAGACTGACCAGGTACCTCTCACTGTTCTTCTTAGGTCTGTGGCTCAGAACACACACCTGTTGCAGCTGAACCTGAGCGGCTGCTCCGGCTTCTCTGACGCGGCTCTCACTGACATGCTGCAGTCTTGCTCCAGGTGAGAGGACGGTCCTGACGCGGTTGTTCTTCAGGCTGAACAGATCCTGGACTTTACCCCCCTCCTCCCTCACTCTTTTCTCTGCAGTCTGGAGCAGCTGAACCTGTCCTGGTGTGACTTGTGTTTTGTCGGGGGGGTGGGGGCTTTTTTTTTTTTTTTTTAACTTTTTGGTTTTTTTTTTTTTTTTTTTTTTTTTTTTTTACCCAGCATGCCTCTGCAGGACCTGCCCTGCCTCAGTCTCCAGGGCTCCATGTTGACTCAGTCCAACAAACGCAAGTCCAGAAACTTTCTGAGCGAGGGTCTGGACACAGAGTGCACCCCCACAGAATTGATCCAGCAGTGTTCCCCCCGACACAAGCTGCAGAGACTCAACACTAAGGACAAGGAGAACGACTACGGACACTTTGTTCTGGCCAGGAGACCTCGGAGGAAGAAGGAGTCCAGTACAGGTTAGATGTGACCTCTGAACTTTCACCTCTGAACTGTCAATGTAACATCTCTCTCATCGTTACTCTTATTGTGCCCCTCCCCCCCCAAACCCCTGCAGGTATTTCATGGGACCAACTGCCGGATGAGCTACTTCTTAAAATCTTCTTCTACCTCCCCCTGCAGGACCTTCTTGGGATATCCAGAGTTTGCAAACGCTGGCACCGTTTAATGCAAGTCTTCAGGAACTCTGTTCTGTAACGTCAGCTACAAATGGATTTAAGGATCTTTAAATAAGTCTCATAGTCAATAGATAGGACAGGAACATTAATGTGTATATATAAATACACTAAGTATATTTATGAAAATGCAGTATATATACATAAATAAACAACAAAATCTCAGTATTGATGTCACTGCGTCTTATGAAGGGTTGACAGCTTGAATTGAACCTGGTAAAATCTAACCAAGTTGTTGTATCGGTCCCAGGTTCGACGAGTCTCTGTGGCACAGCGTGGATCTGGAGGGTATGACCCAGGCAGACGCGGCTCTGAGGCACGTCCTGAAAACCAAGGTGACGAGGCTGCGCTGTCCACGGTCGTACGTAGAGGAGCTGCGACTCGCAGGCACCGAGTGAGTGCGTCTGTTTAACTCCGACGTGTTGAACGTGTCGTGTCTGCGGGATTCTGGTGAACCTGATGGTTGTTTGTTTGTTTGTTTGTTTCCTGGGGTGGCAGGCCGCTTCAGATGGCTGAGCTGGACCTGTCCAGTTCCATCATCCCCACCTCTGTCCTGGAGAGCATCATCTGTGGCTGCAGACAGCTCAGGTGTCTGAGTCTGGAGGGACTGCAGCTGTCTGACCTCATCATCAAGTAGGTGTCTGAAAACAAACACACACACACACACACACCTTCCTGCTCCACTGTCACTGCTCATCAAGCGCAGACTGACCAGGTACCTCTCACTGTTCTTCTTAGGTCTGTGGCTCAGAACACACACCTGTTGCAGCTGAACCTGAGCGGCTGCTCCGGCTTCTCTGACGCGGCTCTCACTGACATGCTGCAGTCTTGCTCCAGGTGAGAGGACGGTCCTGACGCGGTTGTTCTTCAGGCTGAACAGATCCTGGACTTTACCCCCCTCCTCCCTCACTCTTTTCTCTGCAGTCTGGAGCAGCTGAACCTGTCCTGGTGTGAATTCAGCAGCTCTCACATCAGAGGCGTCACCGAGAACCTGAGCTCCGCCGTCACACACCTGAACCTCAGCGGCTACAGAGAGACTCTGACACTGGAGGGTGAGAGACGAACACAGGTCTTTGTCACAGTGTGTGTGTGTGTGTGTGTGTGTGGAACCAGAGCTTTGTTATCTGATCTGCTGGAACTGCGTGTATTTGCAGATGTGAAGATGCTGGTGGACAGATGTCCACATATTCAAACCTTAGATTTAAGGTAAGAAATGAGTTTTAATCCCTGGAGAGCAGCAGGGGGAGTAGGAGAGATTTTTGGTGCTTAACACACTACAGCCAGTCAGGCAGGATTGAAACGTCACTCCTCTGATTACGAGCCGGATCAAATCAATCACATCTGGAAGATTACCAACCGCTGACGTCTGTTTTTAATCTAACATGGGTGTCAGACACATTGCCACCAGGGGGCCACATCAGCAATACAGTTTCCTTTAAAGGGCTAGTTGTAAGTGGAAGACTGTATAGATCAGGGGTCCGTGGACCAGTACCAATGCATAGGTCATTTGGTACTGGGACACGGTGGAAAAAAATGTAATGTTTGTACTTAATTTTTACTAATTTACTTCATTCAAAGATAATCCAGTCATATCCATTTACTTTCTTTATTTAAAGATAATCTGGAAATATTTCAAAATAATATCATTATTCAGACTCAGACTATTCTTCATTGCTACGTAATAAAAAAACATTTAATTTCTCAGGTTAAGAAACTCTGCTGCATGGACTTTACTAAATGTTTTTTAAGCTCCCGCGGGCCACACAAAATGGTTTGGCGGGCCGCATTTGGCCCCCGGGCCTTGAGTTTGCCATGTGATCTAACAGTTCTTAAGTGATCGTACAGTTTTAAATGTTGCATTAATCCACATTTGTCCTGTTTCCAGTGACAGTACTCTGCTGATGGCCGACAGCTTCCCCGTCCTGGCACAACTCAAACACCTGCAGCATCTGTCTCTGAGCCGCTGTTACCACATCCACGTCGCTGCCCTGACGTGAGTTTCTCCCCCAGGAGCACAAGCACCACCACCATCATTGTTTATCTGCCACACTAACATGAGTAACCAACATCCCAACCCCTTTGTGTCTCCTCCCACCAGGGACCTGGGGACGACCATCCCCTCGCTCTGCTTACTGGATGTCTTCGGCCTGGTGCCTAACGGCCACCTGCCGGTGCTGAAGAAAGATCTGCCACGCATCTGCATCAACTCGAAACCCTTCTCCACCATCGCCCGACCCACGCCGGCCAGCACACCGGCGGTCCCGCTCAGCGATCGCAGCATGTGGGGCAGCAGGTGTCGACTGAGGGTCCGAATGTAAAGTGCAACCACAGCCAGGGTGTTGGTGTTTTTGCTGCTACTGAAACTACTTTAAGTGTTTTCCTGCGTCAACAGAAGTGAGAGCCACACAATGAACATTGTTGTTGTTTACAAGGATAGTTCAGGGTTTGTTTTTTGTTTTTTTTTTAAAAAGTGATGTACTATCACAGGATTTTAGCAGACAGAAAATGATGTGGATTAAGTCCCACTCTGCCATAGAGAAGTCCATAATGAAAAACACTCATTTTAAATCACAGGACCAAAGAGTTGATGTTGCACCATTTTCGTTCGTCATAATGTTTAAAATGTGTTTCAGTGTGACGTTTGTGTTTTAAATCATTTGTTCCTATTCACATCAGTGACACAAAAGTTAACGAACATGACAGCGGGTCCAGCGGCCGCTCTGTTGTCGGGAGCTTAAATTTGTGTTTTTCTCTATGGACTTTGGTGTGGGAGAAAAACTGTTTTCATTAGGGGCAAAAACTTGAATGTTCTTTTGCGAAAGATTGTCAAAAGCAAGATGAAGTAGCAAAATATGTTCATATATTTCTGTAGACCTCAGCTGGTGAACATTTTTATCCGAAGAATCTCTTGGTCGTCTAGCATGAAAATATCAATGGTGCTTAATGGTCGGTATTTTCAGGTTAATGTCAAGCTACTAGCTAGATAGTGCAAACATAACCCAACATTATGTAATATCTTAAACATTTGTCACTTTTGAATTGTCTTTTAATCTAAAAAAAAACTGTCTTTAGCTTATTGTTATTTCAATTTAAAAACCCAGAACTATCTCTTTTTTTGTACATAACATGTTGGATCTTGTGGAGTTCGAATCAAGTTTGTGTTTTAACGTCAGGAAGGAATGTTGAGTATTTGCGGATCGATGCCTGCCACGTTTAAAAGTGAGGGTGAACTTCTCTCAGTGGAAGTGCTGACAGAACTTTTTTATATCTAATATAGTTAGAACTATTTTTTTTGAAGGCTGCCTATGGTTACACTGTTTTTGTTCCCTTTACCCCATAATGCTGTTTCTCCTAATCATAATGTTGTCACTGTTGATACTGGATTCGAAACCATTTCAAAGACAAACTTGAATTTTAGCAACTGTTTCTCTTCATGTCTTCAGTAAAAAAAAAAAGTTGTTTTATTACATTGTGGTTACTACAGAATTGTCATTTATTGAATTTTTCTATTTGTATTTTTAGACCAAAAAAAAAACCTGTGATTACAAATTGTTTTTTATAATCTAAAAAATGTTATTTGGAAGTCAATCTCTCAGATTGATGAGACTAAACTACTTCCTGGTTTAAGGAGGTGGCTCCAAGAGACTTTTGACCAAAAATAACAATTTTACAGTTGAGAAATTATTTGTCAAGATTGGCAAAGAAATTAATTTTCTGGCAATAGCATAGAAAAAAAATTAATTTCCCTTCTTTATCACCTTAACCTGTTGCACATTGTGTCCAATGAAAACTTAACCGCTCATCGAAAAACAATAAAGTTAGACAAAAATTACCAAATGTACTTTTTTTTTTAGATATAAGAGATGAGAAAAAGCACCAGGTTGTATTTCCAGGTTGATTTATCTGATTCAACACACACCATATTTACATAGTTAAAATAACCATAATACCTTTTCCTTGGCACGTTACATATTACCATTACCATCCAGTCTTAAAAAAAAAAAAAAAAAGGGAGGAACAACATTCATGATTTGGATTGATTATAAAACTTCCATCATCAGCACCAAGAGCTCCCATTTCAAGATCATAAAACAAAATCATTATTAGAGCATTTAGTCTTACCTTAATCAGCAGGAGGAGTGCTGCGAAAACCTACTTTTAGTGAAAGCTGTGGTTTCAGTAGAGTTCTTTTCCCTTCTTTAGAAGAGTTCAACATAAATATCGACCTAAAACATGGAGTTAGGAGTAAGAGTTTGGAGGTTTTTGAGGAGTGGTTATTGAAGGTACTGATATACCGTCTCATCATCCAAAAAGAGGAAATGATAAATGAGCATTTGTGTCTTAATGGCAGCAATTTTCCCTACATACCATACACTTAAGCCAAGTGACTGATATGCCTTTTATCACAAAGAGGCAATGATTAGCTATTGTTAAAATTAAAAACAAAATCCAAGGTGCACCACATCTGCTGTTTTAATTAAGACCATATTTTTTTAAAAACAAAAGTTTAGCTTTTTTTTGGTATTGCAAACAGTTTTGGTCTTTTTTTTTCTCTTAAAAATAGTTGAGCTTTTTTAAGCCTCACAGGTCAGATAACAAAAGAAATAGTTAGTACAGACAAGGTTAGTCAAGTGAAGATGTTGACCAAAATAATCAATTTTTAGACTGAAGGGAAAAATGATTGAGAAAAACCAAAGATTTGGTCTTTTTGGTTTTTTTTTTTTAAAAAAAGCAAGACAAACTAGCAAATGGTTTTTTTTTTTTTAAAAAAGCAAGACAAACTAGCAAATGACTAACATATGGTTAGCAAAAAAAAAAAAAAAAAAAGACAGAAAAGTCCAGTTAACAAATATACCACTACTTCTAGGTCAGGTCACAAGCGTTAATGGAAAATAGTAATAAGTTAAATGTGCAAAAGAAAAAGGCAACATATAGCAAATTTAGCAGAAAGCTAAATCTAAAAAGCTACTTAAACTAGCTAAGAAAAGGGAAAGTGTCACACAGTGATCTACAGCTACAAGTAAGTCTGTGTTAACTGGAGTTTGAGCTCACAAAGTTCAGACTTTGTACAATTAGTGAAAGAAAAGTTAAGTTGATAACGAGGTGAGTAAAATGGGCAAACATTGTAGTAAATCGAAAAACACAGACAAATACTTTGTAAACAAAAGCTAAATTTGGCCAAAGGGTGGTTAAAAAGGAATTTGATATCATTTTTATGTTACGTTATGTCTACTTATTTACGTTTTTACGTAAATAAACTTTAGCTTTGGACATCCTTGTTTAAAGATAATGCTTTTGTTTTCATGACTATCATTAACCACAAGAGGGCGCAAAGCTGCCAGCACGTCACACAACCACACTTCAAAACACTCCACCTCTCCCTTTATAACCACAGAAAATTCTCCTTTTAAGTGCACTTCACTCTTTCGTCTCTTCCAACACTCGCAGCTATATATAAAAAAACCCTATTCCAAAAATATTATTTAAACAAACCTAACAATCGACCACCGTGCTTTTATTTCACCTGCCAGTTGACCTCTGACCCATACTCTGTGCTTTTATTTCACCTGCCAGTTGACCCGCTTTCCTCTGACCCGTACTCCGAGTCATCACATCAGTCCCACAAAAACATCAAACGTCGATTGATTTTCCCATTAGAACAGTTTTTTCGTCATTAGCACCAGTGTCTAAAAAAGATCCTCCGTTTGTATAAAATACCACCACACACTGCAGTAAAACACGTTTTCGTCGACTGGGAGGATTTTCCCAAAAATACCTACTAGTCCAGTTTTAGCTACACACTCAGTAATAAATGGTTGGAGATAATACAGGTTTAGTTAAAGTGTTAGCCTACAGGCTAACTTTGCGTGACATGCCGTAAACAGGGATACTTTGCATCACTTAAAGTAGCCCACACTCTGGAGGAGGAGCAAAGGTACAGCCAAGTTGCAGTATTGTACTGCAGCCCTCATAGGACACTAAACAGTCCGACCCACAGCACGTGCGTGTGTCGGATGCTACTTGCTGTGCTGGATTAAATACAGAAACTCATTTCCTTAGGAGAATAAAGGAGTTCTTAAAACTGGGTGGGGAAAAAAAAGTAAATAAAAAAAAATTAGGAAAAATTAAAAGGAAGTTTTTCCAAACGCTAATGTCACAAAATAGCATATGTGAAGTAATTAATGCAGTCAGTGGAGGGACAACAACACCTTTTTCTTCCTGATGGTCTGCCAAAGTTAACAGGCAAAGAACTGCGGACAGATGTCAGCTTAAAAAAAAAAAAAAAAAAAAAAAAAACTGAAACTGGCCTTTTTTCTTGGGGGGGGCTTTTTTAAAATGTTTTCCAATAAAGA